AGCCAACCGGGCACCAAAAACCACACCAAACCGAAGAGGGACTGACCGAAGAGGGGTCTGGGTGGGGATTGGGAGCTGCGGACAAAAAGTCCAAATGTAATAATTAAATTGCATTTTGCGTCTGCGGCCAAACAAAATGGCGGCGAACGGCAAATGGTCCGTGTGCGAGTGAAGCTCTGGACACGACAGTGGCATACCCTGGAATGCACCAAATGTAACTAACTTAATCGGCGGAATGCAACGAGCTGTTGGAGTACTCCATCCACCAGTCATTCCCCTGCAAAGATTTCCCTTTCTGGCATATCAATCGGGCACTGGATGTACCCGCTCCGTGGCATCGATAGAGCGGAGCATACAAATTTATATGCCCGTGCAGCGGCCATTGGTTTGCATGCACTTTCCATCAATGTTTGCTTTTTTGTATCTCTGCCTTCTCCAGATTCACTTCTCCTCACAATGGATAATTTCGCTGAACTCTTTTGCACTTTTACATCCATATATGTACGTACATATGTATACATGTGCATATACATACATAGACATATGTATTCGTATATCTTGCTGCTGATTGTGCGCATCAATTGTGTGAATCTCTCTCCCTGTGTGTGTCGCTGCACCGCAGGTCAAAGGCTTGCATTTATTTATCATTCAATTAAATATTTAAAATACCAAAAAATGCTTTCACCGCCATCGCAACTTATTTAAATTTCAGCCATCCCCCCCTCACACACACACACACACACACACACACACACACACACACACACACACACACACACACACACACCTTTAATATTGAAATTGAAATCATAAATAAATGAGAAAATTCGTGCTGCTTGCGTGGGTCTGGGAGAGGAAGAGGGGCGCAGCCTCCTGGGTCTCTGGGGCGGATGGTTTATTTTCTGTGGCACCATGTGTGTGTGTGTGTGTGTGTGTGTGTGCTTGTGTGTGATTCGCATTCGTTGTAAATTTTATTGTTATATATATGGCTTGTATTTATACACATTTATTTTTTTCGCCTTGGTGTACGTACGAGCGGGCGGACGGTCGCTGCCCTGCCGCTATGTTTGTAAAATTAATTGACATTTTATTTGTTAATTAATTGTTATAGCCATGTTGTTGTTTGGTTCGCAACGAACCAACGAACCAACGAACCAACGAACCAACCATCCGGGCACAGTCCTCGTCCCACTCCCCGGTGCAGTCACCAGCCAATGGTCGTCCCGTGGTCCCTGCCAAAATGGCTAAATGACCAAATGGCCAAATGGCTTTTCATTATTGTTATTACAAATGCCGCGGTCATTATTATTTGCTCGTTAAGCGCACCTCATCTCAGCCTCAGCCTCAGCCTCCAGTGCAGTGCGACCGAAATGCAATGCATTTGTAAATTAGTTTTGTAGTTTTAATTGCAAAAATTGTTAATTTTCTAATAATTTATTTATTTATTTATGTATGCATGCTTGCTGTGTGCGTGGATGTATATATGCCAGTACAGTGGGTACCATTTGCTCTTCAAGGCAACTTCCTTGGGGGCATAAATATACCACAAAATATTGTACACATTTGAGTATTTGGCAGTGTTTTTTCTCTACTTTTCGTCAGCTCTGTGGACTTGACCTCCGATGTATTTCGGCAAAAGTTGAACCTGCTGGCAGCGCGTAAATGTTTCCCCGCAATCAATGTTTTCCGCATACATTTAGGAGCCAAGGATAAAATCTCAGACCCCCCTCGGATCAGCGGCCTGCCCTGACCGGAAAAACAGACCAAAACGAAACGAAAGCAAAGAAAGAAAAAGTCCAACTGAAGTATTGTAGGCAACATCCGCAGGGCCAAGGTCCCATCAATTTTTACAACTTTAAATACCAGCAGGAAGTATCTTACGAATCCCCCAACCGCCACCCAACCCAACTTGCCCAGCCCTCAGTCCACCCCCCCCAGAGCAACATTTCGAATGCGTTCGGCAATAAGAAAAAAGTCATAACAAAATTTTACGACAACTTTGGCGGCGCTTTCATTTCGGAACTTGGTAGTTGGGTGGAGTCGGGGAGTTGTGTGCGCAGTGGCTCTCCGTACAGATGCAAAATGCAAAACAAAAGCAAAATTACCAAACAGCATAGCGAGAGGAACAGACCAGAGCCAGACACAGACACAAACCTCAAGGAGGAGCAGCAGCAGGAGTATTCCTCCATTCTAATGTCTTGCCAGCCATCCCGCTGGTCGCTTGGTTGGGGCATATAATAATCATCTATATTCATGGATTAGGATTCAATTTTTATGCCACACGCGAAAGACAGAGCGTAACGAAGAACCGAGCAGACACACACACACACACACAGCCAAAAAAAAAAAAAGGTGAAATCCAGCTCCAGCGAGTGGGAGGCAGGCAGGCAGGCGGGCCATACGTACAGCAATGAGGGTTAAATTGAAAATAAAGCGTTACCCAAAGATGCCACAGATACAAACCCAAGGCACAGTGAGAGCAAGAGAGAGAGCGCGCGAAAAAAACACACACAAAATTATTCAAAAATTTATGCAAGAAAATATTACCAAAGAGCTAATAATTTTCTCCATCCATTGGGCGCGGGACGTTCGTTCGTTCATTCCAAAGGTGGCAAAAGCGCCGCGTGGGGCCCACCGCCACCAGCCAAGGGGTGTGGGTTGGGTGTTGTATTTAAATGGGTGGATTGGCGGGGGTGTTCGCTGTTATACCCAGGGTTTTGTATTAATGAATAATATCGCGGCTAAGGCGCAGGCAGCGGCAGGAGCAGAGTTTTTTCTTTTATTTTTTTTTTGTGGCACGCCACAGGGGTTAATAAGTAATCTGCATTTTTTGACATTTATTTATGTCTTCAAATATGTGCGAGGTAGGGGAGATTGGCCCCCCACTCTTCTCTCTCTCTCTCGCTGTATCTTTCGCTGAGTGGCAGAGAGCAAGTGGCACTTGCCAGTGAAATCCAACAGCTGTTCAAAGTGTCATTAGAGTAAAATATGCCAGAGACAAAGTTCCCAGCGGGTCTGTCCCTCTTCCACCCACATTCTTCTGCAGCTTCTGGCCAAAGTGCAACAGGCATTTGAGAACAAAACAATTTGCCACTGGAAGAACTACTTTTGGGTTCTTTAGCTGCTGTTGCTCCTACTCTTCGTTGCGCTGTGGAAAGAGGTGTTCCTGGGGGCTCCCGGCTCTACGTGCCGCACAAATCTATATTTACGATTATGGAAGTTTATGGATGCCACTGCGGCTACGTTTTAGTGTCATTCAGCGTTGGGTTGTAAACGGCACCGCCTTGACGACCCACCACAGCTGGTGGTGGGCTGCTCTCTGGGCCTAATGACAAATGCCTATGAAATGGTCACACACGCAAGGACCTGCCCCCTGCCCCTGCCCCTGCTCCTTATTGTTGCTGTTGCTGTTGCTCTAGTGAAAGTGAAATTGTCATAAAAAGTGAAAGGCGACTGGGGAACGTCTCATTGGTGGGGGCACGGGCCAACGGCTCACATGTCAAGGTAATTTGGGCGCACTTTTTGCACTCGTCTCTGTTTTATGGGCGAATTCAAATAGTTCCTG